GGGAGGCTGAGGCAGGAGGATCGCTTGAGCCCAGGAGTGTGAGGTTGCTGTGAGCTAGGCTGACGCCACGGCACTCTAGCCGGGGCAACACAGTGAGACTCTGTCTCAAAAAAAAAAAAAATTCTAGTAATCTTACTCAAATATCTTGAAAATGTTATTTTCTATCAGGTAACGTCTTTCAAATCACCATGCATTATCTATATTGCAATTTTTTCATTTCAATTTTTGCATTTCAAAATTACTACTGCATTTATAATAACCAACGTACACTGTGTGAACTGAGGAAGGCAGCTTGTCTTAATGCGATGAGCTAAACTGGGTTTTGAGGAAGATGATCTAATGAGACACTAAGCAAAAAGGTTAACAGCAAAAATAAAAAGAATATTTGATTTCAAAATGGAGGAATTGACCCAATGGAAATTTTCAATTATTTTCCCAATTATAGTCATGCACGCTTAAAGACGGGGAAATGTTCTGAGAAATGCATCATTGGGTGATTTCATCGTTGTGCGAACATCACTTGGTATACTAATGCAAACCTAGATGGTGTCGCCTACTACACACAATGGCCATATGGTATAGCCTGTCGCAGCGAGGCTACAAACCTGGATAGCACGTTACTGTACTAAATACTGGACGCAACCATAACCCAAAGGTAAGCACTTGTGTAGCTAAACATATCTAAACATAGAAAAGGTACAGTGAAAATATGGTGTCACAATCTTATGGGACCACCATCTGCTATCATCCTATATGTGGTCCTTCAAAAACCCAAACGTCATTGTGTTTTATATGACCGTACTAAAAACAGAATGGCCAAGAAAAACAATTGTTTTTAACTTGCTCGAAATTTGTTGGAAACCCAGCCGATGAAGGGCTACAAAGCAGAATCAAGTGACCGTCCTTACCCGGCACTGAAAATCTGAGCCTTCTAGTCCTAGGCATCCGGAAGTGACCACAGGCATCCCAGAATCGTCTTCTTCTATCATCGTGAAACAATATCCGTCAGTGCTGAAGACCAAACAGGCAAAGTGAGAGGAAGAGAATGTGTGCGCCATGCGTGCATGTGTGTGTGTGTGTGTGTGTGTGTGTGTGTGTGTGTGTGTCTGGGGAAAAGGAAATGAATGATGAGTATCATTTGTTTCATTGCAAATAAGGAGAAAGTCAACGATCATTATAGGGTACAATCTGTTAAGAGAATCTTAAAACTTCCTTTTATGAAAATGGATTTAATTATCATAAAAACATTTGGTAATATCTTTGTCCAAAAACTCATGAGAAAGGAGGATTCAAAATTCTCATATAATGTATATCATTAATCACCATTAATAACCATATATACCAATTACTGAACACTTTGGCCCTTCACAGATATTTTTCCAGAAAAATCCAGACGAACACCTCTGTGAGCAGTGTAGCACTACTCTCACCTTCCATATGAGGAAACGGAGGCTCAGAGAGCTTGAGCAACATCCCAGAAGTCACACAGTGAGTGAGAGGGGAGCAAGGCTCTGAACCCACACAGATGAATGTTTATCTTGGTTCCACTTGGTCTGAGATAGTGAAATATGCTTATTTCCTGCTAAGGCATGAAATCTAAAGACAGGCAGGAATTGGGATCAGCACAGCAGAGCTGAAGCGATAAAGATTCTGCCCTCTGGCACCTCTGCTTCTTGGCTGGTCTGTCATATGAAGAAATTAAGTTCCGTCATAAGCAGTCTAGGCTCAAGTTGGGGGGGAGGGGGATAAGGATGGACCACAGGAAAAAAGAGTTCTGTCAAGACAGTGGAAAGGAAAGAAACAAAATTTGAAACTTCTGTATGATTTTCTAGATTAAAAATAACTTTCGCTTATTCTGTGTCCTTTAATGCTCACGACAACAATGAGAAGAAAGTAATATTATTTCTACTGTACAGACAAGGACATTAAAGTTGTGAGAGTGTAATAAACTTACGTAAGGTCGAAAACCAGTTAAAGAATCAGGCCTTAAAACCAAGGGCCTCTCACTTCATTCCTACATGCTTTCTGCTATCCCCTCCTGGGACTAAAACGAAAAACAAGAACTATGATATATGTAACTATTTGTAATCAGACATTATTGTCTTCCCAAGTTTGGGTGATGAATGCCAGTAGACTCCCAATATAATTCATAAACCACCACCCACCATTGCGTGTCTTAGGAAATAAAGTACTGAACTCTACCTCCAGCCCACTCTCGTACATATACACGCCCAGGGACAGATACAACGGTGCAGCCCTAAAAGGGAATGGGAAGGAAGCTCTGAGAATGGCATTAGCCATGATTCGTGGGTTTGTCTGTTCTGCCCCAGTGGCGGCAGCATCTACCATCCACTAGCCCTTTGAGCTTCATCGACAGCTTTAGAATCATTTACTTGGTTTATAAGCTTCAAGTGATCCAAAATACCTTGGTTTATAAAGACTACACAACAGAGTTCAAATATAGTAATGACCAGCTAGGAAGGGCCAGTGATAAATCCGTGAGACCAAGGTCAAATGCATGAATATTGTCGTGGAAGAAACACTGCCTCTGAAACGTCTTTTTGTTCTTTGAATTCTTTGGGGGCTCTTTAACCAATTGACTGAAATGGTTACAAAAATGTGAAGCATGGAAACACTGAAGGAAATAAAGAAAATGGCTGTTTTTTGTTTGTGTAGAGACAGCGTCACTCTGTAGCCCGGGCTGGAGTGCGGTGGCAGGATCATAGCTCACTGTAACCTCGAACTCGTGGGCTCAAGCAAGCCCCCTGCCTCAGCCTCCCGAGTAGCTGGATCTACAGGTACATGTCACCATGCCCAGCTAATCTCTCTATTTTGTGTAGAGACAGTCTGGCCATGTTACCTAAGCTGGTCTCAAACTCCTGGCCTCAAGCCATCCTCCTGCCTTGGCCTCCCAAAGTGCTGGGATTATAGGTATGAGCATGGCACCCAGCCAAAATAGTTGTTCCTTAGAAATTTACTTTAAACAATATGATCAAATAATACTAGTGGCTTTTTTATTCTTTTCCCTCATATTTAGACGATATGCATAACTTACATTTCTCATCATAAGCAAAATTCAAGAACTACCAGAAATAAGTCATCCTAATTTTATAATATTAGGAATTCATAGTGGCTAAAGAAGTCAATACACTATATTAAATCTAAGGATTAATTTCTTCTGATCATGAGTTCCTCTTACCCAAAATATGAATATGTGGAAATGTACTTCTAGGCAACTTATAAGAATTAAATAGGGAACAGAAAAAGCAGGTAAAGCTGCTGGCAAGTGCTATAGTTTGGATGGTTTGTCCCCTCCAAATCTCTTGTTGAAATTTGATCCCCAGTGTTGGAGGAGGGGCCAAATGGGAGGTCTTTGGGTCCTGGGGTGGATCCCTCGTGATTAGATTAATGCCCTCCCTGGGTGGGAGGGGGGAGTGGTGAGTTCTCACTCTGCTGGTTCTCATGAGAGCTGGGTTGTTTAAGAGAGTCTGGCACCTCCCCCACTTCTTGCTTCCTCTCTGCACACTGGTCCCCTTCCGCCATGAGTGGAAGCAGCCCAAGGCCCTCACCAGAAGCAGATGTTGGCACCATGCTTCTCATACACCTTGCAGAACTATGAGCCAAATAAACCTCGTTTCTTTATACAATACCCAGCCTCAGGTATTCCTTTATAATAAACGCAAATGGACTTAGACAGTAAGTTACTATTACAATGTCTTAGGAAATATAAATAAACATCAGGAAGAGTAAATTCAAGCTTCGAAAATATACTCTCTTATCTGGAGAGAGGGAGGAGCCAAAAATACTGAGAGGGGCCGGGGAGGGAGAGAGACCCTGGAGAAAAGAATCAATGTCCCATAAGTCATATAATCAAAAAGGATTTGAACAATTTGTTGGAGGACAAGAAAGGAGGTGAGAAAGCATTTCTAGAGAACATTATTTGCAACAAATCTAAAGTAATTTATAAGTTTCTCATTGAAATTGCTACCTAGCAAGGAACATTAACTGGAAACCAGCAGAACAATCACAGAAGTTTAAGAATTACTTGAGAAATTTCCACTCTCAAGCAAGCACAAATGTAAACAAAGCTATGTTCCAGAGCCAAAGCTGATCAACTCTGCCCACCTAAGAGATGGCTGCTCGCTGTCACAGAGCACAATTAACTCTTACCCTTGGCTTGTCTGAACACTCTGCTGCCTGTTTGCCAAGCGCAAGCTTAGTTTTGTATATACATTATCACCCTCATTCCCGGAGTGTTGAGTGATGATAAGAAGATATGGAGAATCGTGAAGGAAATAAAGTAGAAATAGTTTTAAACAAAATTTAAAGTAGTCAGATATATACATGAATGCAGGATCAATCATTTGACTGTAGGGATGCTTGTGAATGAAAAATAAATACAATTGACATAACATTTCAAAAATGCTGCCTCTGTGTAACAGGCAAGGAAAAGTAACCACCAAAATGGAGCACCAGTTGAGTGCGTATCAAGTCATCAACACTGAATGCCTCTTGATGTAACGTTCATTCATGAAAAAGCAAAGCACCTGAGAACTTAAAGGTTGCATGAGGTAGAAGCAGTGATAATACACATTTTGTTCCAAACTTTGACTATACAGGTCCCAGGCTCCTTAAATTTGCCAAATATCCCAAAAGCAAAAACATGTCTGGAAATCGAGACATCCGCGGATTAACCACCTCAAGAGATTTTCAGTGTTCCCAAGTGAACATACACTAGCAAGAAAGGGTCTACCTGCTGTAATGCTTCAAGGGAATAAGTGATACTCTTTCTAGGTGGATATGCGTCCAGAGTCTGCAAGGTTTAACTCCTTTCATTTGTGGTCAAATCAATTTATGAATGCGACTTGTTTATTAGTTGTAGAATGGTTAGAAACCAAATTCATAATATGTGAAAAATTGTACTGACAGCATCTTTATTTAATGTGAGTATAACATTTATAAGGTTTGCCCAAACTTTGGTCCTTTTAACTCTATTCTTCCATGAAGATCTTAGATTCCTTTATTGCAAACCCCAGGGTTATTTATATATCCACCACAATTGAGAAGAGACTATTATAGGATTTTTCCTCTAACTAATTTACATCTTTACAAAGATTAGTTTAACTATAAAATAATTTTCAAAGTATTAGTTAAAGTGTTTATCTGCTCTGCTCAATCAGGTGGTAGGAAATTTAAAAGCACTGTATTTATATTTATTATAAATGAGTTATATGCTCAATTGTATCTGCCTGCAAGGATTAACAGTTTTCTTGACTGATCAATATTTATTTCAATTTTTTCCAGTATGTGAGAAACACTGAAATTCTAAACTTCTTTTAAGTTTCAGACAGAATTGATTTTAAAAGGCCGGTTAATT